CTATTTTTTAGCATAGCATAATTTTCAGCATATAGGTCTTTTACATTCTTGGTTAGGTTGATTCCTAAGTATTTTATTTTATCTGATGCTGTTGTGAAAGGTGATACTTTTATAATTTCTCTCACAGTGAGTTTTTTGTTCGTGTAGAGGAGCCTTGTTTTTTGAGTGTTGACTTTTTATCCAGTTACACTGCTAAATTTGTTTATTAATTCTAGTAGTCTTTTAATAGCGGTTTGGGGGCCTTCTATATAGAGTGTCTTGTCATGTGCTAATAGTAATAATTTAATTTCTTCATTCTTATCTTTATTCCTTTTGTTTCTCTCTCTTATCTGATTGCTCTAGCTAATGTTTTCAGAACTGGATTGAATCGGAATGGTATTAGTGGACATCCTTTTCTTGTTGCTGATTTTAGAGTGAAAGCTTTCAGTTTTTGTCCATTTAGTATAATGTTGGCTGTTGGTTTGTCATATATGGCCTCTATCATATTGAAGGACATGCCATCTGTTCCACATTTCTGAAGGGTTTTTATCATGAACAAATGTTGGGCTTTTCAAAAGCTTTTCTGTATCTATTGAGATTATCGTGTGATTTTTGGTTTTGGGTCTGTTGATGTGGTGCATTACATTTATTGATTTGTATATGTTAAGCCATTCCTGCATTCTTGGGATAAATCCCACTTGGTCATGATGTATAATTTTCTTGATGATTTGTTACATTCTATTTGCCAGTATTTTGTTGAGAATCTTGCTTCAATGTTGGTTATTTAGATTTGCCTGTAGTTCTCCTTTTTGGTTTGTCTTTCTCTGGTTTTGGTATCAGAGTATAAATACTTGCCTTCAAGAATGTTTAGGGAGTACTGCTTCCTTTTCAATTTCATTGAACACTTTGAGGAATATTGATGTTAAATCTTGTCTAAATTTCTTGTAGAATTCAGATGTGAATCCTCCAAGGCCTGGGCTTTTTTTGTTGGTAAATTTTTAATCACATTTTCAATTTCAGTAGCTGGTATTGGGTTATTCAAAATTGTTATATCTTCTTGACTAAGCTTTGGTAGTTCATACTTTTTTAGAACTCTGTCCATTTCCTCTATTTTCCACCCTATGTGAGTAAATATTTTCAAAGTAGGTATTCATGATCTTTTCTATTTTTATGAGACCTGTAGTAAGTTCTTTCTTTTTTGTCCTTATTGTGCTAAGTTGAGTTTTTTCTTTCTTTTTCTTACAAGATTAGCTAGAGGCTTATCAATTTTGTTTATTCTCTCAAAAAATCACTTTGATTCATTAATTATTTTTATTTTATTTTCTTAATTGCATTAATTTTTGCTATGATCTATAATTTCTTCCCCTCTATGAGCTTTGGGTTTGACTTGCTCTTCTTTTTCTAGAAGCTTGAGATGTAGCATTAGGTTGTTTATTTGTGGTCCTTCTGTTTTGATGACAATTTATTGCTATATATTTCCCTTTTAGGACCACTTTCATTGCATCCCACAGGTTTTGGTATGTTGCATCTGCATTTTCATTGAATTGTAGGTTTTGCTTAATTTCTTCTTTAGTTTCACCTGTGGCCAATTGATTGTTCAGGAGTTTGTTACTTAATTTCCATGTGTTTATGAGGTTTTGTAGTTTCTTTTGCTATTAAGTCCAATTTCAGTGTGCTTTGGCCAGATAATATGCTTGGGATAATTTCATTCCCTTTACGTTTACATAAGAATGTTTCATGGGCTGATATATGGTCTATTTTGGAGAATGTCTCATGTGCAAGTGAGAAGAATGTGTATTCTGATGTGTTTGGGTGGAACACTGTAAACATCTATATGCCCATTTGTTTACTGTTTTGATTCAGTTCTGATATTTCTTTGCTGACTTTTTGTTTAGTTGATCTATCTTTTTTGTGACAGTGGGGTATTAAGGTCCCCTATTATCATTGTGTTGTTGCTTACTTGCTTTTTCGTATTCAATAGTATTTGTCTTGTATAGGGGGGTACTCCTGTTTTTGGTGCATATATGTTATCATTGTTAGCTATTTTTGAATTAGGGCAATTATGTGGTGACCTTTACCTCTTTTGATCATTTTCGGCTTGAATTTTACATTGTCTGGAAATAGAATAGCTACGCCTGCTTTTTTTGGGTTCCTGCTATTTAGAATATTGCTTTCCATCCTTTGAGTTTTAATCTATGCATTTCCTTTTGAGTCAGATGTGTTTCTTATATACAGCATATTATGAGATCCTGTTTCTTGATCCATTCTGTCAATCTATTTCTTTTAATAGGTGAATGGAGGCCATTTACATTGATGGATAAAGCTGATATACACTGGCTCAACTTTGTCATGTTATTTCCTAATGTTGGTTTTCTGCTCTTTCCCTAGTTTAATTGATTGCCCTGTCTAGTATTTGAGATTACATTTTGCCTTTTCATTTTGTCCTTTTTACCCTTCAGGCTAATTAATATGTGGTCTTTCAGTCCCACTAGTCTCAACTGTTGGTTGTGCATATCTTAGGGTCCTGTTGTGTGGTTGATGTTTGTCCAGATGCTAGGTACCACAATGAAGAGGAGGACCAGTCACCTAAATTCCTCCTGCAGGGCCTGTTGAGTGAGTCCTATATTTTTCCTAGGCTAACTAGCCTAGGAATATTGATGCAAGTCAACCCTTAGTATTTGCTGTTACTATGTCTTCAGGTTGTTCCAGGCCACCATATCTACCTGTCTATAGTTTTTGTCTCGGCTGGGACCTTACTTTGTCATTGGATGTCTCATAGCCTTTTTAATTTTCTCCATGTTGGGAGAGGTCTTATTGGCACACTCCTCAACCCACCTGATATTCTCTGTGTGGAGGAAGGCCTCACCCACACTCTTGCCAGGCTCACGAAGGTCCTACAGCTGGAGGGGACTTCGCTACTGCTCCTGGTTACCCACTGAAGTCCTCTACTTTAGGGGCAAACTCACCACACTGATGAAAGCCTGCTGAGGTCCTCTGGGTGAGGGGTTACTGAGTCTCCTATCAGCCCAGCAAGGTTAATCCACTGCAGTCCAAAGTTCTGGGAGGGATAATTACAGCTAAAGCTCCACAGCAGTACTAGGTCCAGGAGGTTGAGGGATGGGGATAGGTGTAGAGCTACCACCCTCTGAGGTGGAGCTCCAGGGTCCAAGGTGGGAGGGTATGCGTTAAGTGGCCACCCTCCAAGGTGTGATGCGATTTCTTTTATAGTCTTATGAATTAGTTTCCTTACTTAAGTTTCCATTATCCCAGAAGTTTCACATGTGAAGCTTCCACCTTCTTCCATGTCCCTGTCTCCTTGACTTGTTCTGTGTGGCCTGGAGGCCAGCGATTGTCTTTTGCTCATTCCTCTTGACATTTTTCTGAGTTACTCCATGTGAACAGGTTGTGGAATCTGAGGTGCCCACTGATGAGGATAAGGTTGGCTATGTATCTGCAGTGTAGGGGGATGGGCCAGGCACCTGGGTTTCGCCTAATCCATGTTCCCAGTGGGAGTTGGTGGGGTATAGATTGGACTTCTCCAGACACTCGTGGCTTTTCCAAGTTGTGGCTGGCTGGTTCTCCATATAGGTGCTGGCTATAGGTTCCTGAAGGCATTGGTTATCTGCCTATTTCATGTTTCTTTTTCAGTGGTTCTAATATTTTTGTTTTGCTGTAATGGTATTTATCTTTCTTGACTTTGCTTTTGAAAAGAATGCTTTTTTCAAAGTCAGATTTTCAAAGGATTTACCTTGAGTGGGAATGCTTTAATGTTTTTTTATTTCCATCCCAATGTTCACTTGTCCTTTGTAGACACTTTATGTATTCCTGGCACTTTAAAGTTCTAACTTTGAGAGAAATCTTTTTTCAGGGACTGGGGTATCCTGTTTATCTCTGATATTTGACATAAGTCAGACTGTATCATGAGATATGGGCAGGTTTCACAGATCCTAAGTATCTTTTGTGTCTTCAGGCCACAGTCACAGAAATCTTCTCCTCTCCTTTCTCCCTCTCCCTGCCGCTTCTTCTTTCCACCTTTCCTTCTCTTTTCCATAGTTCCCAGCTTCATTTTCTGATTCTGAACTCCTATCCTCATCAGTGGGCTTTGTCCTAATTACCTCCAAGTAGTTCACCATCTACTAGCTGGAAAAAGAGTAAGTAGAAACAGAAAGATTTTCACTTACCTCTCATTATTTTGTGTTATATCCAATGGCATATTTGTTTTCATACTTTGATAGAAAAGAAACTCTTCCTTCCTCTCTTCCTTTATCTCTTTCTTTTTTTCTTTTTTTCTCTTCTTCTTTTCTTCACTTAACAGCTTGCTTAAATATCTGTCATTACTTTTTTGGGAATAAATGGAAATTACTAGTTCTTATTCAGCAGCCTGATGCTCATTTTTGGAGTTAATGAATGTATGATATTCATGTGAGCAAATACCATTTAGATGTTACTTTCAAATATTAAAAGTATATATTTTTAAAAACAGAAGTAAATGTTGAAATTTAAATTTTGTTCAGCATGAAATAACACTCAGTGAATAGTCAAAAGGAAAAGACCAAATTTGAAGAACTGTAGGTAAAATTTCACCACAATCAAGAGCACTTAGGAAAATCTTTTGATATGTTTACAATATTATTCTTTCTTTTTTGAGTGTATTTGTGTGTATACATTTAAAAAGAGGATGCAATAAAATGAGATAACCATCAATTTTTCTATTTATGTAAATGAATTAATCTTTCACCTACTGAAAATTTTACTTTATTATAATTTTAGTAATGACCTTTCTATACAAATTTTCAAGTTTATCACTTTAAATTCTTAGTTTTCACAATAGGAAACTATGATGTAGTTTTTGGTTTCTCATAAAAAGTCTGTAACTGGTGTATAAGTTTTAATTTGTGCTATTTTTGTAATTAAGTGAAAAACATTGTTCCTTTTTTTCTGTCATTGTTTGAATAGAAAAATTAACATTTTATGTATCATGCGTATTATGTTTCATTCTAATGTAAATGTTCTAATTTTAGGCCTTGGAAGATAATTTAATTGAAGCAAGGAAAGAAATTGAAGTATCACAGAATAAATACAATGCTCTGTCATTACAGTTGAAAAATAAACAGACTGAACTTCTCCAAAAGGATGTGGATATTTCCTTGCTCAGGTAAGTATATGCAGTTTATAAGTCAACATTATAGAAATGTCATCAGTCATTCAATATGATGGCATTTGTGTTCATTATTAATGCTCCTTAATGACAGTGGTATATCTTTATTGGGTGAGTATGTTTGTACACTGAAAATACGGAACTCTGTGTATTAAACCGGAAATACCTTTCCAGTATGAATAGAACTAGAGAGAGAACATAGTGAGTAGAGTAGTTTGTTTCAATTTTTAACAAGATGTCTTAATCCCTTTCCTTGTTGCTGACAAAATATTAAACACCTGTTACTTAAATGAGAGATTTGTTTTGGCTGAATGTTACAATCAATGATCATTGGCTTCAAGTAGAAACCAGATGGCAGAGGGGTATAGTAGATGGTTATGTCCTGGTGGCCAGGAAACAGAGGAAGAAGGTAGAAGCTGAGTCGGGAGAGATACCCTTACCCATCATCATCCCAGCGACCCACTTCTTTCCACCAGACTCCGCTTCCTAATAGCAAGTTAACTGTAGCGCCCTTGTGATCTAGTCACCTTCCACATAAAAGAGGCTTTGGGGCCATTTTAGATCTAAATCATAACACATCGATAGTACTTTTATTCATTAATCCTTTTCACATTCCTAGCTTTGTGTCATATAACAGTCACACTGTAATAAGAAATAATAAACAAGATTTTGAGTTATATTATTATGTTCTATATAGGTTTAGCTTGTGAAAAACTGGTTTTGTATCAGTATATTTAATTGTACTGCTTATAAAGTGGGATTACTAAAAATAGTACAAGTGAGCATTATGTACTTATATTTTTAAGTGCTTTAAAATGTGCTGACTACTTACTTGTTAATTAACTTGATTTGAGAATAGTGTTAGTATAAGTTAATACAGAATTTTTCTCAGTTAACAAACCTTATCCACATATATTCATAATATGCATGTACTTGTGTGTGTGTGTGTATACACAGTAGCATCTTGGTTTATGAGCTTAATTTGTAATATGATTTTGGGAAAGGTAACTGAATTTGTGTTTGTGTAGGAAAAAAGGCCATGATCATGTTTGTTACCTGATGTGAAGTTTATGAATGGAAGCAAAATTTTGCCAGACATTATTGTTTTTAACCTGAATTGTTTGCAGACAGACATGTTTGAAATTGATGGTGTGGTCTTAAATGTATATGAAAAAGTTAATTGTATGATTTGTTTTAATTTACATTTAAAAGTTAGTGGACCTGAGATGGTGAAAATCATTGTCAGTGTAGTGCACATTAGGCTAGAGCTATTTTTGTAAATGTTTTCATTTTAGTGGGCATTGGTAATGAGTCAGTTTAGTGTTGTTTATCAGGTACTTTTAATAGTTCTATTGATAGTTTTATAAATTTATGACTGTGAATTAAATTTGAATGAGAAACTATTTATTGAAATCAGTAAATTTAAATGAATTCGAATTTTAAAAAAGTCCTTGTATCATATTTTAAAACTTTCTTGTTCTGTGAGAGACAAGTATATATTTTGTGATGATAGACCAGTTGGCTAACCAATTCATATTGTAGTTTTTTAATTTAAAAATTTTTATTTTGCTAGGGATTGAACTCTCAGCCTCACAATATGTTAGACAAGTGCTACATCACTGAGCTATACCCACATTTCTGTAATTTTTTAAAGCTAATAATTTAACAAAGACAGAATTATTTTAAATAAGAATAGAATCTTATATTGGGAAGAAATTTTAGAATTACTTATTTCTATACTTTTAATGTTCTAGCGTTTAGATTTTGATACCTTTATTTCAAAAATTTCTCATACTTTGAAGATCTCTGTCTTCATTTTGTGTTGCTTAAGTTTTTGAAGTTTATTTTGTATGTTGAGTTGAAATTTCCCTTTTTTACAATAGCCGTCCAAATACTTCACTTTATTGTCTAGAGGATCTTAGAGGTGACCCATCCTTTTTCTAAAACAAAGCACTGTTAGTATGGTAGTTTCTTCTTTTCTTTTTTTTTTTTTTTTTTTGGTCTTTTTCGTTTTTATTGGTACTAGGGATCGAACTCATGACCGCCTGCTTGCAAGGCAGGTGCTTATGCCGCTGAGCTAAATCCCCAGCCCCTAGTATGGTAGTTTCAATGACACTTTTTCTTGCATTGATTACCCTTATTTCCATGGACATTCTTCAGGTGTATCTCTCATAGATGTTATAGTGGTTTACATTTCTTTTCGAAATATATTCCATATTTCTAATATCTATGTGATTCTTAAAATATAGCATCTAGATCTGTTCAAAATATTCCAATAGTATCTTTTCCATTTTAGAGTATGAGATTACAAGGCTACTGGATGAAACACAATTTCTGTTTAGGATACATTGTAGTGTGAAATATATGGGAATAAATTAATCATGTTTTCTGCTAAGTTTTATCCCAATTTATATGTTTAAATTTGGTGTATTGCAAGATGTATGCAGTGTTTTTCCTGCATTGTCTCCTTAAAAATTACTGGTTAGATGTGCTATGTTTCGTATCCTTTTTCTTTCATTAGATGGAGTAGTTATTATGTACAAGCATTACTCTATGGAATCTGTATATTGTACTCGAGGCACACAGAACCATAATTGTGGAAAATGTCTACATTTTTCCTTCTTGATAAATGATGAAGATTACTTAGCTTAATTTCTATGTGTATTTACTTCTTTAAGTTCATAATCATTTATATTTTATTGAATATTTAATCAACGTATATTAGTCACATTCCTGGCCCTAGGACAAAATACCTGAAACTGGCAATGTAAAGGTGAGAGTGTTATTTAGACTCATGGTTTTGCCAGAGTTTATCTGTGATTGACTGGTCCAAGAAAAAACATGGTGAGGACCATGGTGGGAAAATGCTGCTCACCATAAACAGCCAGGAAGGCGGGGGGGGGGGGGAGAAAGAGAAAGAGAGAGGGAGAGAAAGAGAGAAGAGAGAAGAGAGAGAGAGAGAGAGAGAGAGAGAGAGAAAGAGAAAGAGAAAGAAAAAGAGAAAGAGAGAAAGCATACCTTCTAGGCCATTTTTTTAGTCAACCACCTCCAACTAGTTTCTATTTCCTAATACCACATTCAGCTACTAAACTCACCTATGGATGACTTTGTTGATGAGTGTAGCATTCCCATGATCCAATGACTTTCCCAACATATGAGGCTTATTGGGGATATTTTAGAGATAAAACATACTCCATGTTACTCACTGTGCTATTTGATAGTTTTATGATTACCCCACATGAATTTTCCTCAGTTAGCATGTAAATAAATACCAATGCTTATCATACTTGTCTGTAATATATACAAAAATATGAATAATTTTCCTAGAAGCTACATAAAACTGATAACCACTTACATTCTTTAAGCAAAACTTTTGCCTATATAGGTAGTGGTTTTATAATTGAGGTGAATTTTTTTTTTTTACTAGAAATCAGTTATGAATTGGTGACAAATTGAAAATCAACTGAGCACACTCCTAATTTGGGTTAGGAAAATTCTAAAGTCAGAATCCTGAAGTTGGATTAATACATCTTTAATTTTTTTTTTTTTATTTTAAAGAGAGTAAAACAGAATAAAACCATAAAAACAAACCAGTGTAAGAGATACAGGACTCAAAACATTATGAAATCAACAGTAGTTACCATAATGCCTTTTGATATCTTCAAAATAGCTGTAGATAACTTCAGACATAATACAAATCAAACAGAACAGAATAGAGTAGAAATAATAAAAACAAAACAATGAATGTAATAAAGGACTTCAAATAAGCCAACAGTAAATCTAAAATTGCTACCATAATATATCTTGTATCTTTGAAATAGCTGCTCCTATCATTGGATTTAACATAATCAAACAAAACAAGGGAGAATAAAACCCAACCCAACAAAACAATGGAAACAATATAGGGCCTTAAAACAAGACCATAAGGAATCAACAATGGCTACAACCTCAGAAGGAGATTTCCCTGATGCCACACTGCATATTGCTGTCCTCTGAACCTATGATCAGACCACTGGCCCTAGATCTGCAATGTTAGTGAAACACCAAAGCACCACAGGCATCCAGGTGCATTTCACCTCAATAGCTATCCTCACAGCCTGTGTTTCTCCAGATAAGCTGGTCACTTGCTGTGGGTGGGAGGGTGGGGATAGGATTAGTACTTTTTGTATTGCCAGCCTGAGTGCTGCAAGGGGCTGGGGTCTGGCCTTTCCTAGTCTGGCGGGGCCCACGCATGGTGCTGGTTCCCAATCAGACTGGGCTTATTTGCTGGTATGCCTTTGTTCTTTCTGTCCCCATCCTTGAATGGCACTGACTCATGCTGAGAGGCTGGGGTCTGGCTTTTCCTGGTCAGGCGGTGGCCCTCACATGCCACTGGTTCCCAGACTGGGCTTGTTTGCTGTGGCTTAATACATCTTGATTGTTGGTGTTTCTAGACACTTAGCAGAAGCAAATTATATTGGAGAATGGTAAGACAATTCTGGACATAAACTATACCTATAGTCTTGTAAAATATAGTACAGTAATGTGTAGCATATTGCTATAAAGAGTATGTATTAAAAGGTATGTGAACTGGAAATTAAGGAGACAGACCTAATTACTTGCCTAAAATATGTTATATGTATACAGAAAACTGAAAATAACTGGTAGATACATTATTAAATTCATAAGTGAGTTTTGTAGTTACAAGGTTGGTATATAAAATTCAATTGTCTTTTTATATTAACAAAAAATTACAAAGTAAGCCTAAAATGATTTAAAATATCACTAGACATTAACTTTATAATGAAAGATGACTGAATTAAGAACTATAAATATTAAGATGTATATATTAGCTCTGTATAGACAGCTTTATAGTATTCTTGAAAGAAATAAAAGGTCCAATATGTACAGAGATATGCAAAGTTCATGGGAAGACTCAGTATGAAAATGATACCAGTTTTTTCAAAATAAATATTAGATTCAGAATAATTCAGATCATGGGTTATCAGCAATAGAAA